CACATGCAGGCAGGCCTGACGCAACAGAGTCTAATTTACACGAGTCTAAATTTCACCAGGAATGTTAACGAGCGTTGTTTTTCTCCAAATGCCTGTGTTATCACAGCTTTCATATAACCTGCTCCTCTATCTACACGTAAGTAGAAAGGCTTATCATAGTCAGGCAATGCTAAAACTGTATCTGTCTGTAATGCCTATTTTTAAATAACTGAATGCTTCTTCTTTTTTCTTCTCTATAGATGCAACATTACATTTTCACTTAAGGCATTTTTAGATCATTTCTAGTTTTTCAAAGAATTCACACATCTCACACATCTTACATATTTCAAACTTTGAAGTTGGAGTTTTTATATATATGTGTGTGTGTGTGTGTGTGTGTGTGTGTATATGTATATGTATATATATATTGAATTTATTATGTTTCTTTTCCCCTAAACTTCTGCATTGCTCACAGTTCATAGCTCACAACTCTAAAACTAGCATTTATAAATCATATGCCTAATCACTATGTGTCACTGTGATCCACAAGTATGGTCACAAATTTGTTTCCAAACCAACAAAATAAAATAATCAAACAAAACCAAAAACATACATGAGTCAGGACACAAAAAGAAAAATGCTGCTACTGAAACAGAGCAGAACGTGTGAGGGAAAACTGAGCTCACAGACAGCTGCATGTGTTGGCTTTTATGCAGCTTCTGCTCTAAAAACAAATAAATAAAAAATAAAAGAAAATGTGTAACATGCTCATCAACTTAGCGGTGTCCACATATTTAATTCAGCTTCACAATCCTGTACTTTAGCTGTTGTCTACAGGGTTTGGCTTATTAGTTGTTATTATAGATGTGCTCTATATCTCAGTAATATTTTATCCAGGTAAATGACAGGTTTTCAAGCAGTTAGTGCCTCTATGCACCTAATGGTTTAGATATTTCCTTTATTTTCTTCATCTCTATGTCATTATACTGAGTTTGAGCAAACCTTAAGCTTGATGCAGACTACTTCATAACAATTGTCCATCTCACATCATAACTGACTAGGTTACTTATTATTAATATTATCATCTTTTTACTTTCTTTCTATATAATAACAACAGTATATTACAATATTTTATTATGTATATACTATACTACTACTGAGCCAATTTAATAGTTAGGATCATCTTACTCAGCAAACAGATAATTTAGAATTCATCCAATCTGTCAAATTTGCTTTTTCTCTGAACAGGTTTGTGCCTACTTTTTAGACTGGTCTTCTGTTTGCCTCATCTCAGATCCAACCTTCAGTCACATTCATTCTCTCTGTTGCATGTCGAACCAAGCAGTTTATTATTATATATTTTATTTTTTTTGTATCCATCAAGGGCTTCGGGTGATCTGCAGTTTCACCCTTTCCCAAGCTGGAGACATTTACCTTTTCACACACTTTCCTTGGCTGAACAATGACACAGCCTTAATGTACCTTATGCATCTCTCTATTTTATTTAAAAGGTTTTCATGTGAATTTTTTCCTTTTATTCATTTTATACATTCTGGGCATGATCATCATGCCAACTATGTTTCATTATTAATATCAGTTTACAGGTTGTTATCCTTCCTATTATTAGTTTCAATACGTTAAAAATAAGTTCTAATGTAATTTTGTCTTTATTTATTTTATTTTTGTACTTCTTATATTTATATCTATTCGTTGGGGTCTGTTTCCAACCTTTTTAAACTACTTTAAACTACTTTGATCTCTAGTTTTCACTTAATAAGGGTTTTGTCAGTCACTGCACTATAGTGTGACCTGATGCTGATTTTACTATTACAGTATTTTCTGAGAATTGTACTTCCTGTGGTTTTCTGTTCGAAACGGTTTTACATACCCCTGTATCACGTAACATCTGCACTGGTTTGCTTTTGACATATACTGTCAGTGTAGGTTTGCCTCTTACTTCAGACACTAATTGATAGACATTAAATACTTCTGCGTCACTTTTGTCATTTTCATTTGACTTTTCCTCATTTAGTCATTCATTTGAATATTGCCGTTTGTCCGTTTTATGTCTGCAATCTCTGGCGAAATGCCCTTCCTTGCCACAATTCCAGCACATATTATCTCTTTCTTCACTTCTTTCGTGTATGTCTGTCTGTCCTACATATCTCTGGCCCTTTCCTCTAAATCCTCCTCTTTCTCTGCCTCTATTTCCTCTCCTCTGTCCCTGTCTGTTACCTTCTAAATCCTCCTGAAAATGCGATAAACTCTGTTTCTGGATCTAATGTGAAAGTACCTGTGCTTGCAGTTTTTTTTTTTTTTATTATTACACGGAGCGCGTGCTCGGCATGTTGCAATGCGTCGGCTAGTGGTCATTCATTGTGACCTAATGTTTGCCAATGTGGGATTTCACTGCGGGTAACAGGCCATTCAGGAATACATTTTTTTAGCTGCTGTTGGTAAGGACCGTCAGGACCTTCATTATAATCCATTCCTGAATGTTGCCTAAAAACCGGACGCAAGCGATCTAACAAAATCGGACGCTATTTCATTTTCTTTTTGTTTCACTTCACCAATTTTGCCTATCTTTTTGTGACCACGGCTGGAACACGAATATATTTGGGTTATTATCACGTTGTGCCTCTGCATAAAGACCAGACTGAGGTCTAAACAGATCATGGGATAGTTTAAGGGGGGTCGCGGGAGTGGGGGTTGGCCGTGCAGCAGCGGAAGTGGGGGTTGGCTTCACAGCAGCAGGAGTGGGGGTTGGCCACCTCTGCCTTTTTCATTTTTCTTTTCTTGTTTCTTTTTTTTTATTCTCACATCGTCTATCTGCCTCTCGCTTCCATACTTGGAAATATTTAATTCTTACGTGCGTTTTCCTTTTTTCTTTAAATCTTTTGTTTCTCCTACTTGTTTCAGTAATGCTCCTTTAAGTTGTGATAGTGCAGATGGGCTACATTGTCCTTCCCAGGTGGAACATTTTGTCTTTATAGGATTTCTCCATCTTTGCACACTAATTTGTCCGGCGCCTGGACATTTTTTTTTCTTTTTTTCTTTCTAACCACTGTTCGTCAACAGTAAACTTAGTGGGCTGATTACCCATTAAAACAGAACTACAGAGCCTTCTCTGGTATTAGACTTAAAGAGTGGTTATTGACTACGCCCTTCAACTCCAGCTATTCCTGAGCGGTGTCAATTTTATGAGGCTGAACTCAACCTTTCTCTTTTTTTCACCAGTACTTCAGCTACTGACAGGAAATAAAATGACAATAACAATGAGAGTGATTCAGCAGCGTATTGTGCTGTTCAAATCAATTCACTCTCAACACACAGAAAACACAAACATTTATACAGACATTTACACAGTCGCGCAGACCTTTTCGGCAGGTAAGTCCTAAAAAATTCCCAATTTAAAATCCTTTCGGCGGATTAGTCCTCTTATTTTTACACGTGGACCCTTTCGGCGGGTCAGTCTTTAAAAACTTTTATTTTTACAGATTCGTGCAGTGGATCAAACTCATTCAATCTTTTCGGTGGATTACTCCTAAAGCTTTTATTTTGACACGTGGACCCTTTCGGCGGGTCAGTCCTTAAAAACTTTTATTTTGAAAATCCGTGCAGTGGATTAGACTAATTACATCCTTTCGGATAAGACCTAGGTTTGTTTTACGCCAGTGTAAGTGAGTGGTTTCTTTACCTTCCCAAAACTCTCTGGCTATGTTGAAAGTCAGCCACTAAATCCCAACGTCGTGGACCACTTACACTGGCCAGAACCCAAATTTCACGTCTCTGGACTTTCACTCCGAAGAGGCTGTCGACAGGCTTCAGTGCGGGCACTCCACGACGTCAGAACACAGCGGCCAATGCTTTCTATCCGGCTCGAAGGACCAAGAAAATGTGAAGAGAAATTGTAGAAGGCAAAGGAACTCAGACTCAAGATATCTTATACATGTGCACACATGGACGATCGTCCCTCACCGTCCAATCCATCCTGCACCAGATGTGTGCAGGACAAATGTGAGACAGAGGAAAGACCGCCCAGGGCTTTCAGAGCTTTCTTTATTTATACTTAAACAAGTTTTCAAGGAAGTAGGAGTGGCATGTTCAAAATATAAAACATTTCCATAAAAGGAGAGACTGTTCGCTTGTCAGCTGAAACAGGAGATAACTTGGTATCTATAGAAATTCAGACATTCTCATATAAGGGGAGATAGAGAGAGAGACCGTTCTGTCTACACAGGAAATAGTGTCGTATGTCACAGCATTCCTCTGCACGTACGTCTCCACTCCACCTCTCTATAGTGGTTCCAATTCACAAGCTCTTCTTCCTTTAAATGAAGCTACAACTAAGCATAATCACAAAATTAAAAATCTTTCATCACTTTGTATTATTGTAGGGTCTTTACCTTACAACGTAAAGCGTCTTGAGGCACCTATTGTGATTTGGTGCTTCATTTAATCCAGTTTTATCATAAACTGATCTGCACAGACTGAGACATGGGAATTCCCAGTAGACTCTGCTTAATTTTTAGTCTTTACCCCCCAGTGTACTTTTAAACTAGACGTGATTCTCTCACATGCATTTCTGCACAGCAAAGAAACATTAATGAAGCAAGATGAGACTCCACCGATAAATCTCAGTAATTTTATTGTCTTTGTTCTCATGAACTTTTGTGAGATCTCGCAAAAGTTTTAGCCGTATTCTTCGGAGGCTGCCAGCTCGAAGCCGACCGGGAGGTCGAGGCACGATGTGCCAGGAAAGCGGTGTTCCTCCCGGCTGTTGTAGGTCTCGACCACCCGTTAGCTTTGAGATGGTGGGTGTCAGATCTCAGAAAATGTCGGAGCACTTTTGCAAATATGTGATGTCTTGTAAACCGAGCAGGTATCTGACGTTTACACAACTACATTCACGCCTCAAAATATCTTAAAAGTGTATTTTGTGACCCAGAAAGAGTAATATTACAACTAAGTAGCTGCCGCCTTTGTTGGAATTCAACTTTCGCGAAATCTCGCAAAAGTTTTACGAGATCCTGAGTTAGTTTTGCGAGATCTTGCAAAAGTCCGTCTTAAGTTTTTTTTCTCCCATGTCCCCTGCGGGGCTCCGTAGAAATCAAACTGGTCCACTGACCAAGGTCATTTTCTGAAGCACTTTTCCAATAATGCAAATGTTTATAGGCCTATATCTACCAAACTATATTTGAGGGCAAATACTTTGCAAAATGTGATGTGATAACATGAAATATGTTTGCAAATAGCCACAGTTTATACCAACTCTACTTTAATACATCAATGGTATACCACACAGTATATCACATAGACTTAGAGGGCTATTTAAGCTGATTATAAAGTTGACAAAGTATTTAAATCCTGTCTGTTTGTCCTCACACGTGAAGAATGAACCTCTCAAGTTTGGCATTCACCCCAGTAAGATTTTACAAGTAAGATGCTTCTGGAACTTTATCTGTACAACACATTATGGACATTCATAATCTGACATAAAAAACATTGTAATTTTGCCCAAAGTGATTTTCTTTTTTTCCTAATAGAAATATCTCTGGCTATATTCTTTTATTTATTACTACTATTTATTACATATAAAATATACACATATATTTGTTTTGTTTTGGGTTTGTTTGTCCTCCGAAGCCTCCGTATTATTCTCTTCCTGTATTTCCAGGATTAGTTAAAGCAGACTTTTCTCCAGTGGTTTATGCAACACCAACTCTTCTTCATCCTCATCATCACAGTTTGATCCAGCACTGCCCTATCTCACAGTGTTGGTAGCAGTGGAGGAGCGGTGTCTTTGGGTCCTGCGGGTACAACAACTTTTTAGGTGGACAAGAAGAAAAAGACAACCAGTTAGAGCAGGGGTACCTCACAACGCAAAGCTGAAAGAAGAACTAAAATAAAATAAAAAGGAAAAAGTCCATCAAATTAGATCTAAATAAAAATTATTAAGTGAGAACAATACAGTACAATAAAATAATGCTGATAAACTTGTACAGAGTAATCTTTTGTGGATTCTTACCAGCATTTACAACAAATAAGGCCAAACGGGAACACCAGAATCCATACAAATGGTAAGCTCAGTAAAGCCCGATTCCCTAAGAAAAGTTTTAGAAAAGGAATAAATTAATTTTACAAGAATTATGTTTTCCAGTCTTTAAATACGTGTAAAATAAAAAAAGTAAAAAATAAAAAGATGCACTGCCACAGTCGCTGTTGTTTTTCATATATAAAATGTAATATTTAATCATATATAATTTGTTGAGCTGATAACTCACTGATTAAGAGTGGATTCAGGATTTTTTCACTGTATCCATAGCTGACTGGGTTTTCCAGCTGACAGCTTATCAAACGCTCTCTGTTTGTCTGCAAATGAAGAGAAAAAAGGAGCTCATAAACACACACTGCATTTTATTTAGAAATAAATGTCCTTGTTTTGTTTACCACATATTGAATTTTACCATTTGCCAGTCACTGAATTTGTTTGTGGCGCTCAAATCTGTCAGAACTTTCCCTCCAACTTACTGACTTAATTTCCATGAAGCTAAAGATAATCATTTGATAGTCTGAATGTATTCATTTTCTGATTCTTTGTTTGAAACATGCACCCTAATTGTTTTGTTTGTTTGTTTGTGGGTATGTGTGTCTGTGGATTTGGACGTGCCAAGACCCAAATGCAGACTCAAAAAAAAATTTTTTTAAAAATTTAAAAAAAAAAAGGCAAATATTACCTGAAAACGCACATTTAATATGGTTTATTCTTCAGGAAATACAAAATTCATGAGGAGTTCATCAGGTTGTATACACATAGGGGATAAAAACAGCTGATCAGTTAGGTGTACAGTGGTCCCTTGCTATAACGCGGTTCACCTTTCGTGGCCTCGCTGTTTCGCGTTTGTTTTTGTTTGTTTGTTTTGGTGCAATTTTGCATGCTTTTTTTCCTTACAGCGCATTGAGTTCTGCGTCCTGATTGGCTGTAGACCATTGTCAATCAATCTCATGCTGTGTCTCCTGTCCAGTACAGAATGCGTTCAGCTTGTCAAATTAACATAAATCTTCGATCTCTAGCAGTGTGACTCTGAAGTGCTGTACTGTATGTTTGTAAGTTTTCTCCCCAACAAACACAACAATGTTGACGGTTTGGTTTCATTCTATAATACTGGACCTATTTTTCTACGAAGGTTTGAATTTTGAGAGTGTTTAAACAATAGAGAAAAGTGTGAAAATGTTCATGACTGTCTGAGAAAAGTGTCTAAAGTGTGTAGTGACAAAACAAAGTTGGCTACTTCGCGGATTACACCTATATGGCAGGTTATTTTTTAGAATGTAACTCCCAAGATAAACGATGGACCGCTGTACTGCAAAGAAAGTTCAACACAAACAGGCTTTCTTTTGCTTTAGCTAGTTACAAAATGTAAAACCCCAACCAGAGATAACAGGTCATCAACTTTCTCTCTTTTTTTAATCGCTGCTGTTTGTTTCTCAAATGAAGGCTGCACACTGGTGGTCTGAAAATCTGGATAACTCTTCTGTCAGTATACATAATTCAGCATTTAAGCTGTTATCTTCTTTGGTCTATAAGTGTTTCCATATACAATATATTATATATGTAATAAACTGAAGCTTTTACTTGATGGTCACTATTGGTCTTTAAATAATGAAGGAAAAGCAAACGGGTTCTTTATACATTGTGTAAAGGCCAAATGCACATAAAGCTGCGATAAAATGTCTTAAGATAAGATAAGATAACCTTTATTAGTCCCACACGTGGGAAATTTGTTTGTCTTGAAAGTATTTCGATTAAAAAAAGTTTTGGATTCATTAGGTTTGGATAAAATGACAAAAATAACCAACAGAGCTGTCATGTGATTCAATAATCAGATCCTGTTTATACCTGTGTGATGTTGAACTGACTGGTTGGAGACTGTTTCACCATGTCACCTATCATCCAGTAATAGGTGATCGGTTTGGCATCATCTGTCACGTTGGGTTCACAAGTGAGAGTACAGTAGGTCATCTCAGGGTGGCACCATGTGGACACAGTAGGATTAGGGACAGTGGCTGGTAGAAAAGGGAGAAAACCAACAGGAATTTGACTTAAAATCAGGTGAACTAGTCCGTGCTAGCTAGAGTATGAATTCCTCCTCCCACTTACTGATAACAATGATTTCCATTGTGCTCATGACTTCATCATTAATCTCCGCCGTGTAGCTGCCGCTGTCGTTTAGAGCCAGGTTTGAGATCGTCAGGATCCCAGTGGAGGTATCCACCTCACAGCCATCTAAAAGTATGAAGTGAAGGTATCATCGTGGATCATTTCAATATATTAGCACAGAAATTACCTTAAACTTCATAGTTTAAGGTGCTAACCAGTAGAAATTTACATCACTGGAATCCGAGATTTATTTATACCTCATAACGTTGTCTGTGAAGGTTCTCAGTCATCCAGGTCATCGTAGTCAAAGGAGCTTGCAAAGAAAAGCGTCTGGACTTCTTTAAGTTCTTGAAGACGTTTCACCTCTCATCCGAGAAGCTTCTTCAGTTCTAAGGTCAAATGGTGGAGAGTCCCAGATTTAAACCTAGTGGGAGTTCCCCCCAAAGAGGGACAAAAGGACCCCCTGATGATCCTCTAATCCTGAGCCAAGGTGTGAAACTGGGTGTGGGCCAATCAGCCAGAGTTTCGGGTGAGCTCTTGTGAAACCCGGCCCCACCTTATCATGCGATATCCTGAGGTCAGATGGCCCAGGATGTGAGTGGGCGTTAAGGCGTCTGGGAGGGATACTCAAAACTGGATTATAGATGGCAGAGAGTTGGTGTCGTAAACCACCGCCTCTGTTCAAAGATGGTCGCTCACAGTGGACATAGATGGCTTCTTTCACTCCTCTTTCAAACCATCTGTCCTCTCTGTCCAAAATGTGAACATTGGCATCCTCGAAAGAGTGCCTTTATCCTTAAGATGCAGATGGACTGCTGAGTCTTGTCCTGTGGAGGTGGCTCTTCTGTGTTGTGCCATGCGCTTGTGAAGTGGCTGTTTGGTCTCTCCAATGTAGAGGTCTGGGCATTCCTCGCTGCACTGTACAGCATACACCACATTGTTAAGTCTGTGTTTTGGCGTTTTGTCTTTCGGGTGAACCAGTTTTTGTCTGAGTGTGTTGCTGGGTCTGAAATCACACTGGGATGTCTGCTTGGAGAAAACTCTCCTGAGTTTCTTCTGATACACCGGCTACATAGGGGATGACAATGTTGTTGCGTCTGTCTTCTTATCCTCCCTCGCTGGTGTCTGTCTTCTTTTCTGTGCCTCTTTGCTGACTTTAAGAACGCCCATTTAGGATAGCCGCACGTTTTGAGTGCTTCCTTTACATGTGTGTGTTCCTTCTTTTTTCCTTCAGGCTTAGAGGGAACATGTTCTGCCCGGTGGTGTAGGGTCCTAATTACTCCAAGTTTGTGTTCCAGAGGGTGATGGGAGTCAAAAAGGAGGTACTGGTCCGTGTGTGTGGGCTTCCGGTAAACTTCGTTAAGAGAGTGAGCGACCATCTTTGAACAGAGGCGGGGTTTACGACACCAACTTCTGCCATCTATAATCCAGTTTTGAGTCCCTTCCCAGACGCCTTAACGCCCACTCACATCCTGGGCCATCTGACCTCAGGAATTCGCATGATAGGTGGGGCCAGGTTTCACAATGAGCTCACCCGAAACCCTGGCTGATTGGGACCCACACCCAGTTTCACACCTTGGCTCAGGATTAGAGGATCATCAGGGGGTCCTTTTGTCCCTCTGTGGGGATACTCCCACTAGGTTTAAATCTGGGACTCCCCCCATTTGACCTTAGAACTGAAGAAGCTTCTTGGATGAGAGGTGAAACGTCTTCAAGCAACGTAGAGAAGTCCAGACGCTTTTCTTTGCAAGCTTCTTTGAATACCACTCATAACAGTTTAAATAAAAAACCTACCCCAAAGAATCTACTTAGCCTGTTAATGAAGGCTTAAGTTACACACTCCTTGCAACCTCTGGTTGCTATTGAAAGATATTTTGTCTTTGGCCAGTTGAGTGTTTGCTGAAGGTCCCTGGATGTCCCTGGTTGAATACTCACAAAGAGGGTTCTTCACCACAAACCTCCTGGTGCCAGAAAATTAATTCTGTCCATCTTGGTGTAGCAAGTACAGTGGCTGAAGCATTCACTCTCTCATCCAAGTGACTTCTTCAGGTCTTTTTCAGTGAAGTCACTGAAAAAGAGCGAAGAAGTCACTTGGCACGAGAGACTTCTACTCACTGAATATGTTATGTTCAGATGAAAAGAATCAACTTGCTGGGATTTTCTTACCTGGATGATTAAGCAGGCATCAAGACTGCTTGTGATTGCTTTAGTCAACAACAGATTGACGTGGAAACCAATAGTTTGCATAAAGGTGGTGAATTGTTTGTGTGACTTAAGTTGTAAATAACTTGCCAACTAACCACGCAGGGGAAGTCAAAGTTGAAAAAATGCAGATACTTTTCTGCCTTACCTGCAAAATCAACATGTTTCAAAAGCTGCAACATTTACTTTGAAGGCAAACGAGCTCTGTTTCCAGTTTGTGTCACACTTTTGAGTTTTACATCCGCTTGGGGCTGCTAACGACCAAACCAGTTGCAAGCAGGTTTTCAGTGGAGCACCAAAAACCTCTTTTGCGACCAATTTCACCTTTCTACAGTCAGCAAATTCCCACAACTACTTGCCACCCAATCAGTCAGAGAAAACACATTTTTATGTGGCAACCGATGGTTGTCAGGCAGTCAATAACTAGTCTCTTGGTCGGCGTAAATATGTCCCTTAAAATATTATTTGAGCAAGGGTTTACGTTTATTTAAAGGTAGTCAGTACCAAAACCTTCATGTTTGGTGTATGTTCAGGGGTTAAAGTAAAGGAAAGATTTAAGGATACTTTTAGGCTTTGTAGTTTTACAATGAGAGCCATGACTTTTTTCTACATACGCTACATACAAACATTAAAAATATGTAATCTGTGTATGTATATGGATTTCAGTCTTGAGTGAATGTACCTCGGAAGTGCCAGGAGGTGAAACGTTGTTGTCTGGTCCACTCCAGAGCAACATCTTGATCATGTGTCCACTTGATCCTGGTGATGGAAGCAGGCACAGAGCCTGGTGTGAGGACGACTTTGTCACCCACTTTCTTGTAGATGCCTTCTTTCTCTGCAAAATCAATATATTAAGAGTTTCACATTCAATTCTTTAAATGCACAATTGCTTTAATTTACAGTTTGGTCTTATGCAATGTAGACATTCAGGCTGTGGGGGCAGCAGTATAAGTGTAGATGCTCAGACCTCCCTCTTCTCATCCACCTCCTCCAAGTCTTTTGAAAATACATCGAGGCATTTCCAAGCAAACTGAGAGGGCTTGGAAGGATGTCTACTCTGAGATCTTCTCCTGTTTGTATCTGTGGTCATATTCTTTTGGTAACTACCCACAGCTCATGGTCATAGGTGAAAGCATGGCTCGACCAGCCATCAGCAACAACTCTTCGCCCCAGTGAAAGCAGGAGATAATGAAGAGAATAGAATGACATCATTTGCAAACAGCAGAGATGAGATTCTGAGACCACCAAACATGATCTGCTCCATCCCTCGGCTGTGCCTAAAAATTACTTCCAGAATTAATGACAAAGGGGGTGGAGTCCAACACCCACCATTGTGAGCCAAGCTCTAACTGTTGATCACGGTGTGACAAAGTGGCTAGGACAGAATTCATTTGCCATTTGTTATTTGCATATATTGTTATTTTGTGTTCTGTTATCCTATAGTCTATCCATAATGCTTTAATGTAAACACAGCACATGTAACCTTGGCTCTACATACTATCCCGGGTCTGTTTGTGGTAGCATTAGCTAGTGATGTGACGTTCTGTATCGAGGCTTCGAAGCGTGTGTCGAGTAATGGAGGGGGCGTTTCCGCGAAGCGCGTATCGAGGCTTGCTTCATTTATGGGAGGAGCTGAAAATGATGACGTCCGAAGCCTCGCTGCCCGGCTGTACCACGTGACTGGTTCAGAAGCGGTTCGAACTTTGCCGCGAGCTATGACAGCGATATAAACCCCTCAGACCCCATTCAAAATGTGGGCGTTTGATGGAGAGTTGCGGTTAGTGAGAGTTAGAGACAGTTTGGAGAGAGACAGTTTGGAGAGAGTTAGAGACAGTTTGGAAAAAAAAGAAATCGCCTACGACCTGCCACAGTGGAGAAACTGTTGTTTTTAAATAAAAACCAATGATGTGTCCCCTAAACACTAATCACTGTCCTTGCCTCAATGTTACAAAAGCACAACCACTGTCCACACCTCACCTCACAGTATATGATCATTTCCATTTTAGGCATTTCCAAATAATCATTTTCCATACTGCCATCATAAATATACACAGTATACTGCCATCACTACAATAATAATAATAATGGATTTATATAGCGCTTTTCAAGGCACCCAAAGCGCTTTACAATGCCACTATTCATTCACTCTCACATTCATACACTGGTGGAGGCAGCTACAGTTGTAGCCACAGCTGCCCTGGGGCAGACTGACAGAAGCGAGGCTGCCATATCGCGCCATTGGCCCCTCTGGCCAACACCAGTAGGCAAGTAGGGTAAAGTGTCTTGCCCAGGGACACAACAACCAGGACAGAGAGCCCAGGGATCGAACCGGCGACCTTCCGGTTACAGATGCGATTCCCAACCCCCTGAGCCACGGTCGCCCACAATATAGATGTTTTACACACTCCTTTTGTTGTTGACATTTACAGGCTGTGTGCAAAAGGCCACACTCTACAAATTCATGCCAACAAATATTTTTAGTCCAGTAGGTGTCCTACTAGAGCAAATGAAGCTTCAAGAAGCTTGCGGTGGGGTGAACCAAGTGGATGAAAAGCTTCAGTGCTTCATGAGGCTTCATCTGCCCATCACTAGCATTAGCTATATTTATTCATCTGTGCAAATGTACTTAAAGCTAAATGTCACTTCATCATTAATTGATTTGATCTTTCATTTGTTTATGTAGTTTGGTTATACTTACCATTGTGTGTTCCTTTGAGCAGGTCCTATGTGTAAAACAGGTATGTGGTGAAGGGCCGCCTCAGTACTTCCTGATTTTATAGGATATGATGTCACTGATCATGTCAATTGGGTGTAACCAAATGAAGGGGTGTTTATTTTGTGTAAAATTGTTTATTTCATTTAAAATAACCTCATGAGTCAGATTAGGTGAAGAGATTGACTTTTCAAACTGTTTAGTTGGGTGAATGAGTTTGTTAAGTGGAAAAATGATTTTATTCCTGTTTCTTTGTCTAGACTGTGTTATTTAGTCTACCCTGTTTTCCCAATGGTAGAGGTTAATGAGATCCAGGTGTGAGTGGAATTCTATATAAAGCAGGTGAGATTTTGACTCATGGTTCTTATGTTTTGTGAGACAATTGTTGAAGGGCGACGCCAGAAAATAAAGAACACTTAAAAGAAACTTGAACAGTCTGCAGATGCTGTCTTCCTATTACATTTCATGCTGCTTATGTTATGCTACTTCACACAGGATCAAAAACCTTTAACAAAAAGCCACTCCCGGATAGGGATGGGTATCGTTTAGGTTTTATCCATACCGTACAAACTGGTACTTTTGAAACTGTGCCGGTGCTTAAACGGTGCTCAAACCGGTGCTTAAAGAATGGAGAACACAAAATTGTCCAAAAACCTCTCATGTTAGCTGTTTTTTTGTAAAAAGATAACAATGTTAGCCTTTTCTGCAGCTATAGGGGATATTATGGATCACTCTTGGCTGGAAGCAGTGCTTAAACAATGGAAAAACACAAACTTTGTCCAAAAACCTCTCATGTTTAGCTGTTTTCCACTTTTTCTTTGGTCATTTTAGCCTTTTTGGCCAGGGTGAAGGGAGTATCTGCCATCAAACAAGAAGACAGCCGCATGTAACTACGACGTGTTTGCTAGTTCACCTTACATGCATTAATGTAATAACGTGGTTAGCCTACTCAACGTAAATTACACACGAACAACATTAAGCTACTCACGCAGAGAAGAACGGCTGCTGCTGCCATCATCATCCTCATCATTTCTGCTACACTGGCAGGGCTAGGGGCCAGGACTCTCCTCTTCGGGTTTTTGGGGGATGTTGCTAACTCCGGGTCCGATAACAGGCACCACACCCGCAGTAGATGTGCCGGTGTGAGGTCTCGCAGCAAGCTATCAAATACGGCGCATTTCTCGGCTTTTAAAAAAACGCTATAGTCTGCCAGGTGTTTCATCAGATTCGAGGGTTACCTCCTTTGCACAGTATCACCTTAAAGCACTTGTTGCAGGCTGCTGAGTTTGCATCTTTTGCTGTGAAGTACAGCCAGACTTTTGACCGCTTCGCCTTGGGCATTTTTAATCTGTAGCTCTGCTCTAAAAGAACGTACGTACCTGGGCCCGCCTACTATCCTCGGAAAGGTAAAATGATTGGCTAGAATCCAAAGTGTATGACATCTCAGGGAAAAAAAGCACCAAATAAAGCACCGAAATGTGCGCTGCTTTTCGGTCTGGTTACTACCGTTTATGTCTATGGCACCGGAACCGGTACCATCCCTACTCCCGGAGCATCCCCCACACAATACCCTGACAATTGTAGAAGAATGTTGAAGTGCACAAAACACGTGTCAACCGACTGATCAATTCCTCTTCAATCTGATATGATTAATGGTCAGATTCTCATCTCCAGCACCCTGACATAAACCTTTCCAGGGAGAGGTTAAGAAGCACGATACTCATGGAGTTGGAAGTCAGCACTGAGCAGCTTCCCCTACCTGAATCTTTGCTTCAACACCACCCTTAAGTCTGGTTCCATGAGCCAAACTCGACTCCTACCAGGAGGCTGTCTGTTACCCACCTCCAGAGTTTTATGGGCCAGAAAAGCTGGATAGGACTCCTTCTTCAGCTTGACAGAACTCTTTACTTCTCATTTGGGGGTTTCTGCCATGGTAGACACCGACCACTGCATGAACCATTCTGACTCAGTGTCCCCAGCTTCCCCCAGAACGCTTTGAAAACTCTGACTGCTCTATTTTAATTTACCTTACAGTACTTATTATCACGCTAAATAGCTTAAGCAGCAGATCCACTGTAACTATTTATATATTTATAGACATGAATTCCATGTGCAAAACAAAAATGTACAAACATTCATCTTGATGCTAAAATATACATCATGCCTTTTACAACATTGTACTTTTATGTGATGAATTTATTTATTACATCACTAGTAAATGAAGTGAAATTAC